ATTGAAAAAAAAATTTTGTAATTCAATTTTTTTTTTCTTTTTTGCCGATGGGCGTGTAGTGTGTGTTTAGTGTATGCTCATGTAGCTATATATATGATAGCCTAATAGACATTTAGAGTTAGTAATAAACCTACATTCAAGACCAGTAGACGCATTATTTATCCCCCCGAACCTCCCGACATTACATGGCGACCCTGCCAGGCGGTGCGCTGCTACAATGCAAGCGCACCGCCGGGCCCTGCATAGAAAATAAATCAATCAAAATAAATATACGAAAATAATACAACAATAAAATCAACATAATATCGGACGTGACAAATAACTTTTTAAATACGAATATAAGAAGACTACAATTTTTTGACAAATCGAAGCCGATAATATACTTAAAGAAAAAATGTTATAGAAGAAATGAAGAAAGACCTGAAAATAAATTATACAAGAAGCTTCAGTAACATTGTTATTAAATCAAGAAGATAAGAGAGAAAATTTCCAAGAAAGAAGATTCCAAGACACAGAAAACATCTTAATGAAAATTCCCTCAAGAGAAGAGTACCAACTTTATCAAAAATAAATATGAAAGAAAAAAGAAGAGTACGAAGAAGTCCAGGCCCAACCACATCGGGGAGTCACATCTTCGAGTACGAGAGCAGTAGAAATAAGTCAGGGGTACAACGAGCGACCAGCCAAGTTCTGTAGCAGGTACAAAACATCTCGAAAGCACCGAATGTAAGTTTAATTTTATAATAGTGTCGATGTCTATTGTAAAATTATATAATGTTATATAATTTTATATATATAATGTTATACGCAGAACTGGGGAAAGAAAATTACTTTACCACTTATTTTATTACCACTACCTTAACTTTACGTTTATGAAGTTGCGGTCTTTGTACACAAAAATATAGAATTATTTAATAAAGTGAATAATTACAGATTGAGAGATCCTCACAGAATGATATACAATGACATTCCAAGGTCGGATAAGTATGCAAAATATGTGTGTCAGAATATATAACAAGATTCCGAAACATATTAAAATGCTCAATATCAATATGTTTAAACACAGGTTGTACAAATGGCTAAGTCAGAATAATTTTTACATCAAAGATTCGTTTCTCTCTACCAAAAACTTTACATAAATTGATATAGTTACAAAATTTTATTTTATTCAATTTTTATTTCGTTGACATATTTAGTAATAATGTATTATATTAATAGTATGTATTGACATGTAAATTCATTGTAACATTAAGGAAAGCTTCACAAAAAAAAAAAAAAAAAATTTTGGGTTTTAATAAAATAATAAAATTAAAACCACCACAAAACAACATATCACTCCCCAGAGACGACAAGAGAGGTAGATTATTTGTCAATAAGACATGAATTTATCAGGAGAAGAAACGACCATAACGCCAAGCAAAGAAGGGTTACATTTTGGGAAGTGGTGAGTTGCCTGAAGAGGGATAGTGAGAAGATTGAAGGAGGATACCAAAGTCAGAAGTTTTTTGGAGCGAGAATCATTTTTAATAAGGAAGGTGTTGAAATCTCCCATAAGAATATTATAATCGGAAATAGGACTAAAATCAGCAAGGATTTAGGTACATGTTATAATTAAATAAATTAAATTTAAGAAGCATAAAATAATAAGTAATTATAAAACAAAAGCAGAGATTTCGTATACGTAAAGATTTTGATTATATCTTATGACTGATTTTGTTTAGATTAATCTTTAAGATAATATTTTTCATTTCTCACTCAATAAGATCCAGATATATATATATATATATATATATATATATATATATATATATATATCATCATCATCATCATTACAGCCCTTCACAAGTCCACTGCTGAACATAGGCCTCCCCTCTCTCATTTCTGAGCCTATCACGTAGAGAAACTCCAAGCATAGCCCTCTCCATACGGCCAGCGGTGAAGGACCACGTCTCTGATCCGTAGGTCATCACTGGCAACACGCACTGGTTGTACACTTTAGTTTTCAGAGATTGAGGTATACCTGACGTGAAGATGTGTCGTAATTTCCCGAACGCTGCCCAGTCGAGTTGAATCCGTCGATGGACCTCTCGGTCGAAGTTGGACTTACCTAGTCGGACTATTTGTCCCAGGTAAACGTACTCGTCAACAACTTCGAGCATAGTGCTCCCAACAACTACCCGCATAGGTGTGACATGGACATTATACATGATCTTTGTTTTGTCCATGTTCATCTTAAGACCTTTCCGTTGGGAGACACCATTGAGGTCATTGAACATAGTGCTAAGGTCCTCCAGCGATTCTGCCATAAGGACTATATCGTCGGCAAATCGAAGGTGAGTGATGTACTCGCCATTGATGTTAATACCGTATCCTTTCCAGTCCAATAGCTTGAAAACGTCTTCCAACGCAGCGGTGAAGAGTTTCGGGGATATAACGTCACCCTGTCTTAAACCTCTCTGCAGTTGGATACGCTTCGAACTCTGGTTTTGTACTCGGATAGCCATCGTAGCCCTACTGTAAAAACACTTCAGCACTTCGATATACCGAAAGTCAACTTGGCACCGCTGTAGGGACTGTAGCACCGCCCAAATTTCGACGGAATCAAAGGCTTTCTCATAGTCCACATACGCCAGGCAAAGTGGCAGATTGTACTCCTCGGTCTTCTGTACAATCTGCCGCAGGGTATGTATGTGGTCTATGGTACTGAAGCCTTTTCCGAAACCGGCTTGTTCGGGAGGCTGGAAGTCGTCGAGTCTGCGTGCGAGACGATTCGTAATGACTCTCGAAAACAGCACGTAGACGCGGCTCAGAAGGGAAATCGGTCTGTAGTTCTTTAAGAGAGCGTTGTCGCCTTTCTTAAAGAACAAGACCACCGCACTTCTGCTCCACGCCTCCGGAGTAGTGCCACCATGGAGGACGGATTTGAAGAGCTTCTGAAGGACTTCAAGTACCGGTGTTCCACCCGCTTTCAGAAGCTCCACTGTAATTCCATCCTCGCCTGGGGCCCTGCCGTTTTTAAGGTGCTGGAGAGCCATTCTAATCTCGCTCAGACTGACGTCCGGGATATCATCGGAATCATATCATATATTATATGCAAAAGCAATAACACAACAGAAATGGGACTTGGTTAGAAAAATTATAATATCGCCTAGACCTATGCCTTAACTCTTGTAACCGATACCGTAGTAAACTTGGAATCCTATAATAGATACGAATCAAGTGTATACTCTTAATGCCGGAGATACAGTAGCGGGTTTTTGTAGCAATACGAATTGCGTCTTGGGCACCGCGCAACTTAACCGGTTGTGGATGGTAACTTAGTGTGTTGCGTTTATGACGTCGGCTGTTTCTCGTAATAGGTAAAGTGTTTTTGGTAACAATTTTAGTATAGCAAACATACTTAACTCCATGACTTAGTGGAATAAGCCTATGATACATGAATATCTAGCTAATGGTGATTTAGTGCCGTTCTTTTATGATACTTTGGCGCTACTTTTATTTAATAACTTTGTGATTTAGTGCCATGCTATGATACTATGATACTGTGGCGCTACTTTTATTTAATAACTTTGTTGCTAAAGTCAAAAGGCATGTTTTAGGCATCATTAATGGTGAATTAGTGCCGTGCTACTATGATATTTTGGCGCTACTTTTATTTAATAACTTTGTTGCTAAAGTCATCTGTATGAAAGTTGCATTTCTACTGATTGTTACTTGCAGTATTACGTCGTATAACGGATCGACGAGTGAGCTGTTCCTGATTCGATGCAAATTTTGATTCTAATTGTATTCTTAATATATTAATGAAATACATATACTTATTAAGAACCAATTTTCGGATTTACTTTCTTGCTTATTACCTACTGGCTTTATTGACAATAATAAGTTGACTTTGATGTTCAAATTGCTCCAATGCATACTAAAATCCATTTTTGCCCACCCAATAGCCATGGTACTGATTTTAATATTAGCAAATAATCTAAAAAATTTTATTCTAATTATCGGACAAATATAAAAAATATTTTCGAATTAAACTTCAATCAAGTACTGCCGTCAAACTACATTAAAACGATATTTACATCACCGCAATGCGTATCTCGGCATATTTTCTTCGAAAACAACTTCTGTTAACCAAAGTTCTAGCACACGAATAACCTCCTATGCGGGTATATTGCATTAGACTAGGCGACTTGTTAGCTACTAGGTAACAAGTTGCAGATTACGATTTTGTTCGGTTTGCCGGGTATATCGCTCATTAATACTTATCGGAAATTCTGTTGTTGATTAGGCATACAATATATATAAATAAAGAAGTTTGTGCACTTTTTCTCAAGGTTTTGTATATTTTGAGTAAGCTGTTTATACTTTATACTCACAGACGTGTAAATGTTAACAAGCATTTTAATACTGATGCTCTTAATAGGGTTGCCAAATTATAATTGTGTATGTACATAAAGTGTTTAATTATGTGACAATTATTCTTAATGCTTTGTTATACGTATGCGAATACTACTTATTGAATATAAGTAAAACATTTACTCTACACTCGACGCGTCGTTAATTAAACATTAAATAAAATTAAAGACGTTAAATCATTAAAGATTTCAACATTTGTATCTCCTTTTTAAATTGGAATCTGATGTACAGGATAAAATACTACAATTTGTACTCTTCCAACGATGTGATGAACTTTTTAATGACTTTTGTAATTATTGAACGATTAATACTGACAGCCCTGGATCCTGATAATACTTTATTTTAATCGCATTCAACTTAATTTTCCCTAGCAGCCAGCCTCGACCTTGTGCGTAGTTTGTGTTACAGTATATAAGCGCAAATTATGTTGGAAAAATACTAGTGTTATCTTTACTCGTAAAAATAAAGTGTTGGATTTTAAAACTTTACACTAAAATTTTTTTCGTAAAAAAGCAGCAGGCTTAAATTTGTGGCTCAGTGATATATTTACTCTTTATCTACAAATTGCTTATCGACAAGTTACAATGATCTTGCCTTCAGTGTTCATTATTTTTCTCAACGACTTCGTGTATGTAAGACTAAATCATAAGAGGAGAACGTTTCGCATGCATTTTAAGTGGCGGCCCAAAGAGAATGTCTTCACTTATGGCCGCTATTTAGTATACGATAATATAAGAGCGTGTGTTGATCATAAACGCCGAACACCCCGCTCTTTTACATTAAGACATTTTTTTTCACGCCAATATTAAAAACATTAAAAATACTACGTCTATTTTTAGTATAAACTATTTTTTACTTTATATATGGTAAACGCTTAAGTAAATCAGAGGTTTAGCTGTGAAAAGTCCTAATATTTTTTTAATCCCCGATGAAAACAAAGGGGTATTATAAGTTTGTAGTGTGTATCTATGTGTCTGTCTGTGGCATCATAGCTCTTAAGTGCGTGTGTTGTCAATGTGTACGTGATGTAATAGTGTGCGTGTGTATGGATATGTTTATGTTACGTTTGATTATATTTTCTTTTGTTTCTTAAAAATAAATATGGAGGAAATTTTTAAAGCTTTTACACCTTCAGTAATGAATTAAAATAAAAAGTATGTTTATTAATTTTGTTGTAGAATGGTAACACTTGCCGAACCATCTTCACCCGATAGTGGACAGCAACGATTAACCGCGCAGGTAATCAATCATTTAATATTTAACGATATGCATAATGATATAAGTAATATTTATTAGAGCTTGAAATAGAACTAAATTTATTTTAAAAAAAACTGACTGTTTTTTCCAATACAACTAGACCACACAATGTTATATGTTTTTCCATTCGGGGGAAAGAATGTGGAGATTTGGGCATTTACACAAACATGCTACATACAGCTGACTATGAGAGAAGCACGTTTTTCAATTGACCCCCGCTCCTAAACCCTTCTATGTCAGCAAAACTGAGCTTAATAGGGAACTGCAACCTTTTGAATTGAAAAGGAAGATCTGTGGGAATTATAGGGATCCGTGGTATAATAACATTTTCACCTTTTCCTACGCCTGTCAAAATTGTAGCACCGATTATGTTCCATCCAAGATGTGTCACACGCAGCCTTGTCCCGTTACATAACCGAGGAGCATCTAAATTTAGCATTAGCATGACTGGAACGCCTAATTTTAATTGAAGCTTATGTGAGGGCATACCTGACAACTCTAGAGAATTTAGAAATTCTACGCGATATGAAGTGCTCTGTTCTGTGTCCATAACTGTATGTACTGACAAATACTCTGTTATTTCTCCTGCTATTTCGCTTAATATATCTGAATTTATTTTGTTAACGCTCTCATTTTTTGGTGCAAGAATCACCCTTTCACATAACCATTTGTCTTTATGTATGTTGTTCGATAAATCTGAATAAACGCGCGCAATTAATTCGAAATTACTCTGTACTAAATTACAAAAATCTCTAGTCAATTTAACGCAGCCTTCAGCATCCGTTTCCAACCGCCCATCGCCAATTTTTAATAGTGTGTCAGCATAGTTTCCAGCATTGATATCATTAAACAAATGCACTCTCATATTTGTAGTTAAACTGAATTTGGTCACCTTGTTCCATAAAATAGAAAACTTGAGGCATGCTTTAATTTCATCTGCAGGAGTGCCCTTTTGAATGACAGGTAAAGTTTGGCGAAAGTCACCAGCCAGTAAAACCACCATTCCTCTTATTACATCGATATTGCTGCGCAAATCCTGGAGCGTTCGATTTAGGGCTTCTACAGCTTTTTTATGCGACATTGTACTTTCGTCCCACACTAAAAGTTTGCATTGTCGTAGCATTATATCTCGTGCACTATTTTTGCTAAAGTTGCAGATCGGCGATTCTTCCTGGGCTAGATTTAGAGGGAGTTTTAAAACAGAATGTACAATGCGGCCCCCGCTTAGCAGCGTGGCGGCTATACCGGAGGAAGCTACGACCACAGCAATGTTTTTATCTTTCCGTACTTGAGCTAATAATAAATTTAACAAAAATGTCTTCCTAGTTCCTCCAGGGGCATCTAAAAAGAGAAGTGCACCATTTCCAGATTCAATTTGTCCTAATACTTTGTCAAAAACTCGTTTTTGTTCGGGAAGCAAGCGGGGTACAAATCGGCTACTTGCTGCTGCAAAGCTGGTATATCGTAGTTTGTTTCACGTATAATTTCATCACTTTGTTCATTTTCGGTTGCTCGCTGACGGCTTATTATTCCAAAGTCGCTTAATTTTTTGCCTACCATTGCCATTACTTTATCTTCAATTTTTCTAATTGCTTCATTATAAATGTGTTCATTGTATGTCATGTTCGCGTGTGTCTGTTGTAACCTTCGCAAAATATCTTCCGCCATGTACTCTTTATATTTGTCCCACAATTCATGCGCATTAGATAGTCCGCAAGATGATATGAGAGTTGCATAAAGATCCCTAATTTTGGCTGATGACTGGCACTGCACAGCTTCCTCCATGGTTTCATCCCAGTGATCATCGTTTTCTAAAAGATGCAGAGATTCACATGCTTCTCTATAAGTTGCACATTCCTGACCGTTGACAGTTTTAAGGTCTTTATATCCTGTAGGACCCCGAACATAATGCAGCAGCAATCGTAAACAGAAACATTCAAAATTAGTTACATGGACGGTATACACACGACCAAGGGCATCTGATGACTTTACACGGGGCCAATTTGCAACAGGCGCACCTTGAATACGGCGTTTCCACTCCTTCCTAGATGTGTTCCAAGTATAATAGCGGGGGACTTCAGAATATAACAACGTTTTTGCAAAGGGGTCGGTTTGACAAAGTAGAAAGAAGGCTGTTAGTGTAGTTTTTGGCGGTGATGCAATTCTTTCTTGGAAATTTATTTCGGTGAAATGTACACGTTCTCCATTTTCTAAGTGCACAGCAAGGTGAGTAACTGTTGGGTGCCTTTCGTGTAAAGGGAAGCCAAGGAGACGCCACGTTGCCTCGTTACTGCTGACATAACGCCCTGCTTGAAAGGTCTGTACTTCATTAACGGGATTTGCCTCACCTTCACTCCTGAGATTAAATATTGCTTGTTCACTTCCTTTATTTATGTACTTGCAGATATACTTGATTGCGCGGACAGAGCTACATGCTTCTACATTAATGTGGGCATTAAACATTTTACATAGAATGGGCGAATACGGGACAATCCAGCTGTTATCTAAGGTTTCGAACGCTCCAGAGCGAGATTTGATTGTAACTTTCCTGCCACCATCTTCGGGAGCTCTGCGTCTGTATAAAGGGTAGCCATTGTCATTGTGCACTGTTTCTTTTAGTAGCTGTTTAGGGAATTTCTTTGTACATTTTCCTTCTTTCATACATGGCGATATTGAATTTCGTGTTCCACATGGACCGTGAATCATATTTCGGACGATGGTATCATACAATTCTTTATCTTGCTCAGGATCCGGAATTTCGGCGCTTATTATGTCGTCTATTTGACTGGGCCGCAACTTCTCTTTTGAGCCATATTAGAATGTGGGCATGCGGTAATCCTCTTTTTTTGCCATTCAATTGAATACATGAAGCACTGCACCTCTCCGAAAATTTTCCCTTTGTTAATTACATACTGTTACGAGCTTGAGGTTCGTGACAATAAAAATTGCCGATAGAATTACCAAAATTAACTCTTTTATTCACTTTACACTAATTAAAACTTAGAACACTAATAATTAATTACACTGATTCACTTTATTTCGCTCCGAAGCTTCGCTTGTTTCGCCAAATTCAATACTTCCCCGCTCCCATCTTGCAGCGCCTTTAAATACACATTATCACCGAAACATCCAGAATATTCAAGTAAATACGCGCGCCAATCGACTAGGCGCTGAAAGTTCGAGTGTCGGGCTTCTAGAAGCTTAGTTCTTCGTTTCGATACTAGATGGCGCTATCGGTTGAAAGCTTAGTGATGTCATTTTCTGGAAAGCTCTCCTCGCTCCGTTACCCCACGCAGATGGCGATAGTGCCAGACGTCAACTTAGGCGCGCAACAATACATTAATTTTTGTACTTTTAATCTAAATACTCTAGCAACTAAATGGTTTCTGTGACAACTTTATTGGCCCGGCATTAGCTCCTCGGTTATTTCTTTCCACGTGGGATTGCAAGTAAAAGTAAAAAAAAGATCAGGTCTTCCGTAAGTTCGTACATAGGCGAATGCGTCTTGTGTGTACTCATGTAGGTAGCGGGGACTGTTAACGAATGATGAGGGCAGAATTACCATTTTATCTAAATCTCTGGGGTTTACATTGGCGTCGCTAGAAACTGCATCTTGTAAATGTATATAATTCTCAACGCGCAGCGTTTTTTGATTTAAAGATATATAACGGAGACGTTCACTTTCTACCTTCACATACATGTATACCAAAAATTGATGAAATATTTGTCTACACCGCTAAGGCTAAGAGTTTAAAATCATTTTCTCGCAACATCATATGATACGTATAAAAATCCATACATGATACTTTTTTGTTCGGGTAGGCTCCTTGGTGACCGGGTTAATAAGTGGAATTTGAAAATGATAACCCTCTTTACCTTTGCAATAAATCAATGGGTATTACAGAGCGTCATAAAACTTGTGTGTATCGGCTACCCGTTGCAACGTATCATCACGTGCTCGCAAGACAATGTCTCGTGAAGAAAATTGATCGCCACTAATTACGGCTGCTATTTCGTTTATCAAAGGTGCACTGTAGTGCCTTTCATGCTCTCCTCGAGGGGTCCGATCTGCGTAAATGACGACTTTATAATCCTCTTCAGGTAGGTTTTCTAAAGCAGTTTTAAATGTTTTGACTAAAATGTTACGTTCATGCAGGAATCTTTGAATATCTTTTTTCTTTTTTTTTCTCTCAACTCCCTGGACAAATTGGCAGCGACGGTATACCTCAATTTCTTCGTCACACATAAAATATACTTGTAAAAATTTATGCTGTTCGTTTTCAGCTGGAAAAAGTGAACCTATTCTATGATAAATTTGCCTTTGCACCGTAAATGTAGGCGAAAATCCCGGCATTATTATTTCCCGGACAACTCCGAAGGACGTCATTTGAAAGCATGAGTTATATTTCCAGATCCTGTTTTAAAATCGCTGTGACTCATTAGTATCATATAAAAAGAGAGTTTTCAAAGGTTCTACTGATTCCCCAAGTAACGGAAGAGACACTTTGCCATTGGAACAGCACATGCCTGCGGTCTCATCTTTCCATTTTAAAGCGCTGCAAATGAGTGTCCATCAGTTCGATAACAACTAACCTGTGATTTTTATAATCAATCAACAGATCATAATTGAATGCTGCGTCATTAAAAACCGACCAATAGTTTCTTTGAAAATTTTGTCGACGTTCAGCTTGGAGCTGGGCATTTGCATCTCTTCGCGTCTGTGTCTGTTCTGGTGTTTTAGATGCCCTTATAGTAGCCAATTATATTACTGCTCAATAAGTCTGTGTTGAGTTTCATCAAGTGTTTCCGCGGCTCTTAAGGCGGCCTGACGTTCCGCTTGTTCGAATAGCCTTTTCCTGACTTTGAGCAGGTGTTTCAGTAGCTCTTAAATTAGATTGACGGTCTGCCTGTTCAAGACGCCTTTGCTGACTTTGACCAGGTGTTTCAGCTCTACACGCCTCTTCAATAGCCTTTCCTGACTTTGAGCAGGTGTTTCAGTAGCTCTTAAATTAGCATGACGCACTGCCTGTTCAAGACGCCTTTGCTGACTTTGAGCAGGTGTTTCAGTAGCTTTTAAAGTAGCTTGACGCTCTGCCTGTTCAAGACGCCTTTGCTGGCGTTGAGAAGGTGTCTCAGATGCTCTAAAAGCAGCCTGACGCTCTGCTTGTTCTTGCCTTCTCAGTTCAGCATCTTCTAAAGATTCTAGCGATCGAGCTAATCTTTTCGCTTGTCTTTGAGAAGATACTCTTGAAAGGCTGGGCTTACGTTGGCGAGGCATTTTGAAGTAACAAAAAACCTATTTATAAAAAAAAGTTAAAATACCTAAAATGAATTAAATTTCCTTTTAAATATTTTTTTAAAAGCAATTCCAAAATATCTAAAAGGAATAAATATTCCTTTTAAATGTTTTTTAAAATCAAAACAACAAAACCAATTTAAGACACAACACGAATCTGAAAACGTAGCCAAAAAAAAATCGAATCTACTTAAACCAAATCAGAAAACAAATCGCAGAAAACCAAAATCGAAAGCAGTAGTCAATATAAATATAACCAACGAAAAAAGAAGTAAGTGTATAGGTACCGTATACACTATCTATACTATTAATATTCCTTTGAAATATTGTTAAACAACCTAAAACAATGAAAATAAACAAAACAAAATCAAAGCCAGAGTCTAAATATGTATAAAGGAATACCAACAAAATCAACAAAACCGATTCAAGAAAATACACAAATCCGAAAATGGAAGCCAATATAAATTCATCCAACCTTAACCAAATCACAAAGCAAATAACAAACAACCAAAATCGAAAGCAGGTAGCCGAATAAGCTACGAAATAGAAACAATTTAAGCGTATAGGTACCGTATGCACTATAAGTTGACGCGCGGCTCAACGGCGGGAGTTAAAGTACATGTCAGGAAACATTTCGTTACCGCGTTTTAAAAACCTAGTAACGACATCTAGCAGAATAAATTTAAACTATGTATACGTCAGTTAATAAGAACTCTCAAAAAATGTTTTTCTTATAATTTTGCTTAATTATTCTTATTGTAATACCGATTCATTCATAACCACATATAAGAACTGTATTCATTTCCGTTCAATAAATATTACTAAGGACTTATTAATAAGGCTTACTAAGAACTGTTTCTACCACAGTTAAGTAATAGTTAAGGGTGAAAGCGTGACAGGTGGTGATACTATTTCTGATCCATACTTATAATCACGCCTGTAATCCTTGCGGGGTAAGCAGAGCATCAACGGATTACTTAATATCGTCTGCGAGGTTATCGCCTATTCTGTGAATTACAATGCACCAAAACGCTTGAAGAAAATCAGCTGGTGAATTTTATGTTTTTTATCGCTCTCTTTACGGTCCTGCGTGGAAATATACTGATCCATACATTTTTTATCTTAATTTTGGTAAAAAGACATAATAATCCAGATATTCTGACCTTCTGTGTTCGTCCATCGTACCGTCGGCCGTCTTGTAGAATCACGGTGGCGCCACCTAGCTAAATTTAATTTTGCAACATATTTGATTTTCCCACGGGAATGACATGTTTTTCCGCTGAAGAAAGTAGCCTGTGTCACTCTACAACCACCGAATTATCCCCATACAAAAATCATGCCATGCCGACGCTTTGTTGCGACGTGAAAGAAGGCCAAACAAACAAACAAACACACTTTCGCATTTATAATATTAGTATGGATATATATATATATATATATGTATATATATATATATATATATATATATATATATATATATATATATAATATATATATATAATTATATATATATATATAATCCAATACATAGTTTACATGTTTTTGTTAATTATGTTTAATGTTTATAAACATTAATATTAATTGTTAGTAAGGAAGTATGTCAGTAGTAGGGTAAAAATCAGGAGAAATTTCTAATATCAACTAAAACTGATAAATAAAAAAAAATTGTTTATTTATTCAACTTATGTCTACAAGCATTATTTTGTGGCTAGAGTCGCCCAGGAAGCATGTAGTAATGCTTGTGTTGGGTGACTCTGCTCTTCCATTGGACCGAGAATACAATATTTATTTTTAGTGTTTTAATAACTAAACTAATCTATAGATTTTACAATATTTCAAGGGCTAGAATACTAAATGAATGATAAATTTCAGATATTACATTGTGCCAAAACTGCGATAAAAAATCTTGGGATCGGTTAATAACTATATTAGTTAATAACACTATATTTTATGTCAAATGTATGTGTGTGTGTGTGTGTGTGTGTGTGTGTGTGTGTGTGTGTGTGTGTGTGTGTGTGTGTGTGTGTGTGTGTGTGTGTGTGTGTGTGTGTGTGTGTGTGTGTGTGTACTCTTGACTGCCTGTGTGATGATAAATCATTAAAATTTGTATTGTCTATGATTCGTATCTAATTAAAAAGTCCTCCATGTCATAGTACCCTAACGTCTCGAGCCTAGCCTAGAGGTGTAGGAGGCAATCTATGAGCCCTATATTCAGCAGTGGACTTTAATAGGCTGTAACGGTAAGGTAGTTAAGTACTTTTACAGACATATTATTGTTACAGGAATCTATTTTTATAGATCGGCTAATATTAAAATTACCTTGCGAGTATATATAAATTTATCTGAAAATTTTATCACGACAACGAGTATATCGATGTTGATTGTTACTAAAATTGAGAACGAAATCAATGTAAATTAATGTTACATAAAATACTACTAAAATAGGGATGCCGTTTTGTGGTAAATCAGAAGATATGAGTGTACTCTTTTTCGCATAGCACTTGTCAATAAAGATACACGTATAAATTACACGCAATGTCTTTTAACTGTTTTTCTTCTTTTGCCTTGTTTAAAAATTAAATTAGTAGGAGCAAGACAAGCATATTGACTCAATTTATGTAGAATTGTGGGATCCCTCTACGTGTACATAGGTATGTAGTTACTCTGAGGAAGTTCCTTGACCGCGGCATTGCGGTCTTCACAAAATTACCTTTTGATGTCCAACTCCACACTTTACATTTATGTTTGCATATTTTATGCAGGGTCCGCTTTATTAAAAGATATGTTAGCATACAACCTTGATCGATATTAGAAAGTATTCAGGATGAGCTGAGTATTTTATGGTGTAAGTAGATTTTTTCATATTATTAAAACTTGAAGAAAGAAAATCATATTTAAATTTTCAGTGCGGCGAAGTACCTGTAGTAATACATTTGTCGGAACAAAAGTTGGAGGAAAGTTTATTAAGCGATTTTAATGTCACCAATCATGCCAGCAATGGAACCTCAACAAATGGTAAAACGAGCAAATTTGGAATTGGCGCTGTAAACGAAGTCCCTGAAATAATTTTCAGTGACCTACCACAACATAAAAAAGTAATGGAGTTGTTGCTAGAAGATATTCAACGAGGTAGTCATCTGTTGCTAGTCGAGAACCGCGGAATTGAAAATAAAAAAATCGCAGACGGACTGTTAAAACATTTGAATCGCCCTACGCAATATATACAACTGAACCGCAACACAACGATACAGTCTTTGACAGAACAGCCAAATGACAAAAATAGAACTGTCATTAATGAAGATTCACCATTGTTCAAAGCAGTAAAATACGGCTATGTGTTAGTTGTAGATGACGTGGACAAAGCGCCAAAGACCGTGAGAAGCAGCTTAAATAATTTAATGGAAAATGGAAAAATGATTCTGAGTGATGGTAGGAGAATAATTCCCAAGGGATTCGGTAATAGTTCTGAAGAAAAATCAGCTGGTTTTATCAATGTGCACGAAGATTTTAGAATGATAGTTACGGCTCGTGAATCTGGATTTCCAGTTTTGGAGAAAAACGAAGGTAATTTAAACGTTGTTGTCATCCAAACATCCCTTTTAGATTTATTTGTAGGATTTGCTATACATGGATTAAAACTACTTTTACGGAATTTATCACGTTTAATATTAAATTGTTTTTTAATTCCCAACGTTTCGGGTGCTTTCCTGCACCCATGGTCACAGGGGACTGAGGTGACTGATCCCGCAATGTTAACCCGGAGCACCTTCAGCTTTTTGATTATTGTTTATGGTCCCATCTATGCAGAATGAACTTACTCTGTCTTGAAGTCTTGCAGTGGTATGCTTGGGTTTAAATTTTATTTTATTAATTATAGAGTCTCAAACAGGTGGTAGTACACAGCCGCCTTCTCTATTGAAATAAGGATGTCTCTGAATTTCAATAGCCTCACGTATCACCCTGGTAGGAATCGATATTCTTCGCTAGGATGGTCTACACTATGTAATGGTTGGGGCCGCCTAGGATATGATCACAAACTACGGACTTCCCGGAACGTTGATGCTTCACGTCAGCTATATGTTCTTTTACGCGTGCCGACGTAGCATGGATGCCCCCGTGACCATGGGTGCTGGAAAGCACCCGAAACGTCGGGAATTAAAAACATAATTTAAAATTAAATGCGATAAAATCCGTAAAATTAGTTTTAATCCTTGTGTGGTGTTCGCGTATGAGAAATCAATAGGATTTGCTATAGTTGAAATAAATATTGACACGAGATAACACTAGTGTCCTTTGTAACTTACATTGCTAACTGTTACTGGTTCTACAGTTTTCGATATAGTACTCCAACCTGCTAGAAGTCACGTAAAGATAGCTTCATCTGGGGACATTTAATTCCAAACAGTGACATGATGATTATTGATTCTGGTACTCGCGGCAGAGCCACAATGAATTATCGTTTTAGTACGAATAACATGGCTCAAACATTACAGGATCAAGCTCCTGCAGAATATCGGAGTAAAATGGCAGAATATTGTGGCTGTGTTTTAACGAACAGTGACGAGAACTAGTCCCAAGGCAATCCCCAATTACCAATGGATACAATTTTGATTTGTAATTAAAAATAGACGCAGGTGTCTGTGGGCTACAGAATTTACTTATATCAGCAGCTGAAAAATGGCCCGCGTTAATTCATGAGTTTTAGTCGAGAAATCTTCATTGTGAATACTGAGGTGAAAATGATTAATTTTAATTTATGTTTGTATTATGGCAGAGATCGAGGCTAGAGATGTTCGTCGCGCCAGTGCACTGCCAATGCCAGAAAATCATTCACGCCGCCGCCGATTTGTTGCTTGTATGTATGTTGTGTGATTTTAAAGCTTCTATAAGTTACTTAGTTCGACTACAAGTACGGTTGCTTTGGAATTTTAATGAATTTTTAATTTTCTAACGTATCTCAAGTGATCAGGTTAGTTCCAATATTCTTAATTTTTTTTTAAATTCACTTGTTTTTATTTAAGGACATTAAAGTAAACTGTAAACTGTGTAAAGTAAAGTGCCGATCACTATACACTGTCCAGTATTAATCTTTTGTTCTATCCACTGTATCCTAAAGTTATTAGACTTATCGTGATCATCTTGTGATCGACTTATAAACATTATTTGACTAATAACAAGCACTAACATTGACTTATAAACATTGTCCTTATAGAGATTAACATTACAGCATCAAGAAATGGAGAAATAGGCCTCACCGTCAAAGCAGTCGGTTCTAGTCCAAAGATCACGACTGTTGTGATGGGTGCCCAAGGCACAGGACCACACACTGCTACAGCTGTGGCTTCAGGCAGAGCAGTCGCCACGGCAACAGCAATAACTTATGGTAGAGGAAGTTCAACGGCTACGGCTACTGCTTCGGGCTCATCAAAAGCTACCGCCGTAGCACACTCATACGACGCAGGAGTCGCCACTGCTACAGTAACCACTTCTGAATCATCTGTTGGTGACGCGACAGCAGACGCATACAACACAGGAGGCGCCACTGCCACATTAACCTGTACTGGTTCATCAAATGCCGGTGCTGTAGCACGCGCACAAGACTCAGGAGTTGCCACCGCCACAGCAACTACTTCTGCCACGGCATCGGTTAATGTCCAGGCGTTCGCCAGGGGCAATGAAGTCATCACCGACACAAAAACCAGGCCCTAAACTTGAATTTATATGTATTTGAATAAAGAGTTTTAGAATATATTTTTATTGTATGCCAATTTTATCAAATGTCTTATTTTTTAACTGTATAGTAAGCATTACCGCTTTAAAATTGTGATGATTATTGGGAATTTATATCAGATTTTTATTAAATCCCTCTATACCCAAACACTTCTAGGTAGGATAATATCTCTTAGCGAAAAAAAATTACTTATTTTCTAATGTTGCTAAGTAGAATTAGTCCATAAAATAAATATTTGTCATATTTTTGACTACATGTTGGGACTGCAGCAGACTGGCTATATTTAAAAGTCATAAATGATTATAATAAATTCCATTTTAAATCTGTCTGCATAGCGTATGGATTTACAAAATTACCTATTGTTACGGCCCTCAGTTGCCCTCGTCTGGACTATGGCCCATAAGTAATCCAACTCGACGAGCAACCAGAGGGTGCGGGCCCAAATGGCCTACGGATAATTAATTTATAATGGCTGGATAAGCAAACAGAAACTTACTGAGTTCCGGAGGTAGGGTCGACCACATGATGCCGTCAGGGGCAAGTAAACGGTATGTGTGAGTGGTGTAGGAAGGTGTGTAATGTAACCTGACGTCAACGATGTAATCGGCTAGCAGAACCAGATGCTCTGCCCTGCTACACAAGGTGCAATCACTCCAGTGGGCGCTCACCGTTATCTGAATTCAAGTCTAACGTCACTTGGCACAAACTATAATCGAAGAGAACGCTATCTCCTCCCGGATCACAAAGTTTAGCGTAAAGCAAAATTCCTTCGTACGATATTAAAATACTACACAAGACACACGTCGACGCAAATTAATCGCAATCGAAGTTACATTAATCACTCAAACTCAAGGAAAGCCTCGTTGTCACGTAGACGTACAAAATAAGACAACACCAATGAGGCCGTCGTAATGCGACGCAACGATTCTTACGTAACTCCGACCTCTAATCGACACGGCCGTCGCGTACAATCAAATATTCTAGACTCATCCGTCGCCGCCGGCCGCACAACGGATCCCCCCGCGCACCGCCAAACCGGTTCCCGGCCCGAGACGATCGCCTTTGCAAGTTTTAAGTCGTTAAGATTAGGCCTAAACAAACCCCCGTCCCGGGCATAAGGACTTATGTCCGCGAGTCAATTGGCAAACGGGATAGGGTCGCGACGGCCCGTTGCAAGACCGAATCTCCAACCAAAACCTCGGCCACCCTAGGCACTCTATCCGGTCCATACGACAACTTAACAATGCGCCCACGGCGCCAATACAAAGGCAAAGCGCTAGGTCTTTAACTAACACGAGGTCTCCAACCCGAGGAGGATCCGTCTTGTCAGACCACTTAACGCGCTGCTGCAAAAGATGTAGGTACTCCAGAGACATTGGTGCGAAAAACTCTGAGTCATTTGTTGCAGCAGGTCAAATCTGCTAAGAGCTTATTTCCCTGAAGGGGTACTCGGGCAGGGCGTTAAGCGGCTGGCCAATCAGGAAGTGGGCTGGGGTTAGAACCTCTAAATCATTCGGATCGGACGAGAGGGGACAGAGGGGCCGAGAGTTTTACAAAATACATTGGCAAGTTCCTCAAATGTCAAAATAGTTTCGCCAATAACGCGACGGAGATGCGTTTTTGCAACCTTAACCACCGCCTCAAAAATACCGCCCCAGTGTGGGCAAGCCGGAGGGTCGAATTTCCACTGGATGCCCTTCTTGGACATTGCAGTACCTAAATAAGTCCTGTTGCTGGACAGAAATTCGACGACCTCTTTCAAATATCTATCCGTGCCCTTATAATTCGTACCATAATCACACCGGATCAGGTCCGGCAAACCGCGACGCGATACGAAGCGGCCCAGCGTGGCCACAAAGGCTTCAGTGCTGAGGGCACTTACAAGTTCTAAGTGAACGGCCTTAGTGGCGAGGCACACGAAAACGCACAGATAGGCCTTATGTGAACGCGCGTTACGAAGGTTGGAGGACGAGGAAGGATCCAGCAAAGTTGGTTCCGACTCCAGCGAATGGTCGGATGGCCCTGACGCAGTCGGGTGGTAAGTCACCCATCATCAGCTGCGATATGGTGGCCTTCAGTTTATAACAAGGTATGCACTTAAAGATGACGCTCCGAATGTTGCGTCGGCCAGCTAAAATCCAAAACTCCCGCTGCAAAATAGCCGAAAGAGCATTACACCCAGCATGGGCATTCTGAACATGATGGTGAGTTACCAGCAACCGAACAAAGGCGCCGTCCTTAGGGAGCAGTAACGGGTGTCGAGCCCCGTACGGCAGTTGAGAATTTTTCAAACGTCCGCCAACTAGCAGCATCCCAGCGTCGTTCAGAAAGAGGTTCAGGCGGGCCGGAGCTCCCTTGACAACGGAGCCCCGCTTCAAGGTTTCAATCACGGGCTCAAAATGCTCCGCTTGGACCATACGGGTCCAATGCATCAAGGCTTCGCGACACTCGCTAGGGGACAAAACGGAATCAGAGATTCGGTTGGACGGGTCTCTCAAATTGCGGACAAATCGACGCAACCAAGCAGTCACTCCTAAGAGCTTATCGAGAGAGCTGTACCGTTCTAGCAGGGAGAAATCAAGAGTGAGCTTATCCTTGCCCACTCCTACTCGGGCTCGTAGGCCAGGCAATTCAATCGGTTCGGAGTATTTATTCTGGGGCCAGAACGGCTAAGATTCAGTCAACCAACTGGGCCCCCACCGCAGCGCAGTCTGCGGGATTCAACTCCCCAGGGACATGTCTCCAGTTTAGAGACGTGCCAGAATTCTGGATTTGAGACACGCGGTTCGCCACAAAGACCTCAAGATTGTGAGGTGCAGCTCTGAGCCAAAAAAGTACTATCTCACTGTCCGACCAAGCGTAGACGTCCGTAATGTCGATTACAGACATCAAAGACGAGTGAACGTGGTTGAGGAGTCGCGTGAGAAGGAGCGGCTCCGGACAGTTTAAATTTAGGGACATTTAAGCGGGACCTAATAGGAGCAACCTTGCTTTTATCAAGTACGAGATGGACGGAAGTATGGCCAGAAGAGCTCACAGTTCGCAAATATACGACAGCAGCATAGCCTTTCTCAGAGGCGTCGCAAAATCCATGAAGGGTAGCCCTGCACTTTACTGGAGGGAGGAAGCACCTTGGCATGGAGACTCGGTTGATGTCCGGAAGGGAGGACACAATGGAGTGTCATTCTCGGAAGAGAGCACCGCTTATAGGGTCGTCCCAACCCAACCCGGATATCCAGAGCTTTTGAAGAAAGCCCTTAGCCAAAAAAATGACCGGAGTGATCCATCCATTAGGATCGAAGGTGCGGGCTACTGTAGACAGCACGGAGCGCTTGGTCCATGATTTGGGAGGGGGGATCGAGTTTGACTCGATACGTAAAAGTATCCTGAACAAGCTGATATTGAATGCCCAGCACAGTACAAATTAGGATTTTCAGGGTGCTCGAATAGATGAGGGTCTTGTTGATCCTATCCTGGGAGGTTCTTCATAATATGAGGGGAGTTCGACAACCATTTGCGCAACTCATAACCTCCGGACTTCAGGATGGCAGTCAATTCGTCTCGCAATACAAGAGCCTCCTCGACGGTGGAGGCGCCCGTGCAAATGTCGTCCATGTAGACCGAAGTCTCCAAAATAGAAGCCCCCCGGGGGTATTTTAGACGATCTCTCTCAGCGAGTTCGAGGAGGGTTCGCATGGCGATATACGGGCTGGACCGGAGTCCATAGGTGGTGGTGTTCAACTCAAACGCCTGTATCGGATCGCTGGGCTTCTCGCGCCACAATATCAGCTGATATCGACGGTCATCTCGATGGACCACTGATTATCGAAACATCATCCGAATGTTGGCTACAAAAACCACTTGGTGCCAACGGAAGTGGGTCAAAATGTCGGATATGTCCATGATCAATTTAGGATCAGAGTGGAAACACTGGTTCAGGGACACACCATTTGACGAGGAGGCGGAACCGTCAAAAACTACCCGAATCTTACTCCCAGGGGTCCTCAAGACCGCATGGTGAGGGAGGAAGTAGTACTCCTGTGACCGCCAGTCGAAGTTGGACGGTGACATGTGACCCAGTCTTGATACTCGCGCATGAACTCGACATATTTGTCGCGAAAGGCTGGGTCGCGCCGCATAAGGCGCTCCATGGAAAGCAACCTCTTTTCGGCCAGTGTACGAGATTGGCCCAAAGGGGGCCGTGAGTCAAGAAAGGGTAAGCGAGTGACAAAACGACCGTCGACACGACGGCCGGTATTGTTCTGGTAGAACGCCTCGCACTCACGGTCCAGAGGGTTGACTCGAGACGCGTGTGGTGGCTCCTCAATTTCCCAGAACTGCTGGACGACGTTCGAAAGGGACACGCCCACCACAGAGAGCGGGTCGGCCGTCTGAGGAGGTGGAAACCACAAAACCGGTCCAAAAAACTGTGCCCAAATACAGTGGACATGCCTGACAAGCCATCGGGCTGTAGGGCTCGTATCTCGCCTAACAAGATGAACCCCAGCACGTCGGCCCCCAGCAACAAATCTATAGACCCAGGTTGGGACCATTGAGGGTCTGCCTGTCTCAAACCCGACATACAACGAACCGCGTTGTCATTTATACGGACGTTAGGGAGAAAACCTACAATGTTATCGAGGACATTTACTTTAACTAGAATATGAAGGTGTTCACTGGCAGGGCCAAACACCAACTCCGCTTGTCCCCTAGGAGCAGGAGGCTCGGCACCTCCGGTACCTACCATTGAACGTGATTCAGAGCTCCAGGGGGAGCCCTAGTCTCCCCACCAACCAAGTGGAGGCCACACAGCGTTGTGAACCCGAATCCAATAGAGCGCGAACCGTTAAACAGTCGCCACTCGGGTTGTACACCTTCACCTGAGGCCGTCGGCAATAGAACAGTTTGACAAGTAGACTATTGACGGCTTAAAGGATCAACCCACCACCTCCCATGGCCCCACCGACCCTCAGGTTAT